ACCGGACGGAACTACAATATGAGATCATTCATTACTATCTCCTATTTAAGAATATTTACTGAAATGTCTATTGGCTAAGATTTGTGAGAAACTGCAATGCGAATAAAAAACATTACAAAAAAAAAAATACAAAAAAAAATAGCAACATAAACAATTAGGATAACAAACCAGATAAATATATTATTGCCAGAGAAAATAATTATGACGTACAATGACACCCACCATAGTTATTTTCACTCATTACTGGAGTGGAAATACACAAAAAAATACAAATAGAAGTCACCCGCGACGTACTTATGAAGATAACACAAATCCTCAATATTGACGGCAGGTCAAACGTGAAGATGTTTTTTGATTACTTTTTTCCGGAAACAGTAGTATCATAAGAATATGCAAGATAACCTACCGTGTCACATTAAGTAGTATTTTGCTTGTATAAGTGTCTGCTTAAATAAGGGGTATAGGCAATCTTTTGAATGATATAATGCAATACAGACAATAATTATCTTGTCAGTATACAATAGGCCGACCGTATGACATCACCACAATTTTCCGTTTAGATATTGACAAAGTTTTTTTTTAAATAAAATATATTAACTTAGTGAAGTTCTGAGATGCAGGTATTTTATTCCGGCAGTAATCGACATCCCGTTGCTTGAAAGCAGGTCAAAGGTGAAGACCGTAAAATGCCTTTGTATAGAAACACGATATAGCCAGACAATACATGACAGCCTGCGACGTCCCACTAGGTGTATGCTTTCTTACGCAATCGTTAAAATTTTCTTAAAGAAAGTTCTTTATGGATATGTATCTATTTAAACTTTAATATAATCAGTTTACCTATATACCTTTCCTTGTATACCTTTCAGAGGGCTAACAAGCTTGTCTTATTTTTGTTGTTGATTATTCCGGTTTAATGTTTAACTTTTGTAACATGAGATCATACAAGCTATTTAAAACATAAGGTAGATTTACACCAGAGCATTGCTTAGACCGAGTGTTCTCGTTGGATTTAGATTCTGTGTTTTCTTTGCTCGGGTTTCTTTGATCTGGTCAAGTACAAAGGGGCTACAGTGGTTAAGTGTAATGATGAATTGGGTTGGTGCAAATTTCATTCACGTATTCGTTTCGTATTTTCATCAATTTTGTTGACTAGAAATTATCATTATGAATTTCAAATCAATTTGTATAAAGAACAGAATCACTATAGGCTGTATGACACTGCTCTTAGTATATTGTAGTTATGAGGCATAGATAAGTTCTTAAACTAAAAACATGTGTTAATACATACAGGACGTATGGTATAAAATGTTTCGAATTTGCATTTTTGAAGAGATAAATTTAGTTTGTGATGTTATTGTCATCAGATATAATCCGTAGTAAATATTAATCAAGATCAGTACTAATGCAAGATACGCGGAGTCAACACTACTGGTTGCAAATACATTATGCCATTCTGACATTGTTTTTCCAGGTTTTTCATTGGGGTTCAGGTGTTATGGTAAGGGTTTCAAAACTACATGCTTATGCTTAAAAATAATAATAAAGCACAAACGTTTTTAGGTTTGTGATCGTTGATAAACCTGTTTTCGTCGGCTTTGTTGTGCATCCATCGTTATAGGTGTGTATATCTTAAAATGTACAGCAAAGCGTGGTTTAGATATTGCGGTATACAGGAAAGAGCATGCTTTTACTTGATTTATATAGACGCTGGTCATTAAATCATGCGAGATAAACATAAACAGTTCAACAAAGTTGTTGATAACTAACTGCATGCTTTATCTGTCTGTAAGATACCATGAATTAGTATTTCAAAGGATAATGTTTGACAGATTTTTATGGAATACATTTTTACAGATATTTTACTTTGCAAAAATCATAGTTTGAGAAGATTTTAATATGTGATAGAGGATTTATATTTGGTAAAAAATTCAGGGGTGCATCGTATTGGCTTGTAAAGTTCCGGTTGACAAAAGCAGAAGTATGTAGCGCTAGAAAATGCCATTAAACGTGTTGGAAATTATTTTTGAATCCATAAAAGGTTATTAGATATACATCTTCACTGATTACCTATCAATCATACAGACTTACATATAACACTAAATTTCTACAGGCCGGGCTGCAACGGCTTTACAGGGAGAATATTGGATGTAGGGGAGATGTAATGCCATAAACAGCGTTTTGTATGAGTAAACACACATTAGATGAAGTGAGCGGAGGTTGGTCAATGTATTGTTTTTGACAGGAAAACAAGAGGCCCAATGGGCCTGCATCGCTCACCTGTTATTATTCTAACACTTGTAATCTTATGATTTTATAAGAACCTATTAAAAGATTTAAACATATGACGCCTCTGACCTTGATTGTTGAACAGGGACATTAGGTTGAAAATGGATCAAGGTCAATCATTTGAACTAACATGGTAGTCCTTCATCCCAGCATGCTACAGAACCAATTTCAGTACCATGGCCCTTTTGCTTATTGAAAAGAAGTCGCTTGAAGATTTTACGACATTTGACCCTGTGACCTTGAAAGTTGGTCAAGGTCATTCATTTGAACAAACTTGGTAGCCCTTCATCCCAGCATGCTGCAGACCCAATATCAGTACCCTGGGCTTTTGGTTATTGTGAAGAAATTGTTTGAAGATTTTAAGACATCTGACCCCAGTGACCTTGAAAGTGTGTCAAGGTCATTCATTTGAACAAATTTGGTAGCCCTTCATCCAGCATGCTGCAGACCCAATATCAGTACCCTGGGCTTTTGGCTATTGAGAAGAAGTTGTTTGAAGATTTTACGACATTCGACCCCTGTAACCTTGAAAGTGGGTCAGGGTCATTCATTTGAACAAACTTGGTAGCCCTTCATCCCAGCATGCTACAGAACCGCTTGAAGGTTTTACGACATTTGACCCCTGTAACCTTGAAAGTAGGTCAAGGTCATTCATTTGAACAAACTTGGTAGCCCTTCATCCCAGCATGCTGCAGACCTAATATCAGTACCCCAGGCTTTTTGGTTGTTGAGAACAAGTTGTTTGAAGATTTTACGACATTTGACCCCTGTAACCTTGAAAGTGGGTCAAGGTCATTCATTTGAACAAACTTGGTAGCCCTTCAGCCCAGCATGCTGCAGACCCAATATCAGTACACTGGGCATTTTGGTTAATTAGAAGAAGTTATTTGAAGATTTTACGACATTTGACCCCTGTAACATTGAAAGTGGGTCAAGGTCAGTCATTTGAACAAACTTGGTAGCCCTTCATCTCAGAATGCTACAGGCCGAATTTCAGTACCATGGCCTTTTTGGTTTTTGAGTAGAAGTTGATTGAAGATTTTACGACATTTGACCCCTGTAACCTTGAAAGTGGGTCAAGGTCATTCATTTAAACACTTGGTAGCCCTTCATCCCAGCATGCTGCAGACCCAACATCAGTACCCTGGGCCTTTTGGTTATTAAGAAGAAGTTGTTTGAAGAATTTAAAGACATCTGACCCCAATGACCTTGAAAGTTGGTCGTCAAGGTCATTCATTCGAACAAACTTGGTAGTCCTTCATCCCAGCATGATACAGGCCCAATATCAGTATCATGGGCCATTTGGTTATTAAGAAGAAGTTGTTTGAAGATTTTATAGACATCTGACACCAGTGACCTTAAAAATGGGTCAAGGTCATTCATTTTAACAAACTTGGTAGCTTTTTATCCCAGCATGCTACAGGCCCAATATCAGTACCCTGGGCTTTATTGTTATTGAGAAGAAGGTGTTTGAAGATTTTAACATATTTGACCCCTGTGACCTTGAAAGTGGGTCAAGGTCATTTTTTTGAACAAACTTGGTAGCCCTTGATCCAAGCATGCTACTTACTAAATGTCATCTTCCTAGGCCTTTTGGTTGTTGAGAAGAAGTTGTTTCAAGCAAAAAGTTGACGCCGGAAAGACGGACGACGGATGCCGCACCATAACATAAGCTCACTTGCCCTTCGGGCAGGTGAGCTAAAAACAATCGGCTGTTCATAAAAAAAGCGAAATTAAAGGTGGATTTTGCCATAAAACCTATAGCTGACAAAACAGATATGGACATACCGAGTGCCAAAATTGTTTTAAACGACCTTAATCGACAGGTGTAGATGTACGGTCATATGCATATATGTACTGTACTTGCAGATAAAATTAAAACTAAGACAGCGTTATCTGTAACCACTTACCTGTTCATAACAAGATACAATTAAACTTGGAAAGGTCCATTTCTATTTCGATAATTTCTAATACAACAATGAATGTTTATTTATGACCAATTCCATGCAATTCACTATTATTTCTGCGTATGTGTACAGTAAACTGACAGATCAGCCCTATAATTTACTGTTTTATAGTCATTGTGATAACGTGTAACGTACATTGAGGAACCGCAGAAGTGCAGAATAAATATGAAAGATGTACCTTATTTCACTTCCCTGTTTCACATTTTTCTCATTCAGTAAAATGAATCAATCAATCTTAAAATGCTGCAATATGTGCGCGTTCGTATTGCATATCCGTTGTTAAATCGTTAAATTGTGGACGCTTTGATATGCAAACGGTCACTTGGGTGCGTGTGCAGGTTATAGTCCATAAAATCATCGGATTAGTTTGTATAGATTTTGTTAAAAGAAACGTTAATCGTGCTCCTACTTTAGATTTCCCCTATTAGCATATTCAAAGTATATTCATTAAAATTCAGCAATCCATTCTTCATCGACCATTTGTTATATGTGTATACGTCAGCCAGTATAGATACGTGTATTTGACTTCACAGTACAATGGTTTTCAGATATCGATAACCTTTGTGAGCATATAAATAGTCAGTATTCTTAAACATAGTTAACTCATTTAAAGTTTTAAACATTTATCTGAATCTATTGTTATTTGGCATCATGTTAAATGTATGTATATAAACCGACATGGATAGCGTGTTATTTACTTCACAGTACACTGCGTTAAAGGTATGTGCCTCTGTTATAAGCATTGAATAGGACTCGTTTGAAAAACCAAACACACGTGATTCAAACAACATAACGAGCAATTGAAGAAGGAAGTTTAATTCCGAACAAATGTAAATGGCGGCCTGTAAGATATGGTTAGCTTTCACAGGATTTATCAAAACGTTAATAGCAATGGCAAGTAAGTTAGCTATCTGCTGCGCCCAGGTACACGTGCCCAACACGTGTGCTTGGTGTGAAAGCATACAGGACGTTAACTGGTACTGTAATGACTGCCAGGAGGCTCTGTGTGAACGCTGTTTTGAGGGTCATCAACGCGCGAGAAAGACACGAAATGACGTCGTTGTGCAAATAACAAAAGCAACAAGACAAAATGGTGCAGTTCTCCCAGAGGTATGTACGACACATCCCGGTAAATCATGTGATCTGTACTGTACAGAGTGTCACGTCGTTATGTGCTCCATGTGTTTTACCCAGAAACACAAACAGCACACATTCAAACATTTGGAAGAGGAAGTTGTTTCACAAAAACTTTACATGCACGATCAATTAAAGAATCTAAAGTCCAGTCTAGACGGGCACGTCAGTACTCTAACAAAGCGTAAAAGGGATAGCAAATCATTTAAAGAGAGCGCATATGTCATTCTCCAAACTGTACAAACTCGCCTATCCCACTTAATGCCTGATTGCATATTAAAGAATGGAGACTGCAGGTATGAGCAGAGAAACATTAACAGTAAACAGGTTCGTCAGATTGGTGCATATCTAATACATGTGAGACAAATCAACTCGATATGTCCTATTGACGACACTCAGGTATGGACGTCAGCATCTGGATCTAATGAATTGATAAAAGTCAACAAGAACGGCAAGGTCACAGAGTCAGTCAAGCTTGACTTTAACCCGTGGTGTCTGACATTGACCAACACAGAAGAACTACTGATCACGTGTTGTGGTGGTTCGCCACTGATACACAAATTATCCAAAGACAGACAAATAACCAGATTTACTGACATCAGTCCGTTACAAGCCTATGGTATCAGTGTCAGTGACAGTGACGAGGTATTCGTTACTACTCGCACTAAAACAATACAGGTACTGAACATGTCTGGGGAGAGGATCAGACAAATTTCGTTCGGCATGTCGTTACAAGCCCATGCCTATGGTATGCTGAGTATCGTATGTTTGACAACAGGATATATAGCTGTTACCATTGGCAATTTTGGTCGCTATTGTAAAGAAATGGTTGTCATCAACATAACTGATCAGGTCATACATAATTGGAGTGGGAGATTGGACCATGGTCGGACGATAGAGAAGACGATGCAATGTGATATAGCACGTGATAGATATGACAGAGTGTTTGTACCAGACTTCATCACTAACCAGGTATACGTCATATCGGGGAATGATAGAACGGCCCAGTGTCTCCTAGACGATAGACATGGATTAATGGGTCCAACGGCTGTGTGTGTAGACAGGTGTGGACATGTTTGGGTCGGCTGTTTCGATGGTTCAGTGTATGTGATGGAGCTATAAACAGGTGAGAACAGATACAAACAGATTACATAACATTAAAGTGGCAGTAGAAATGTCTCCAAGCCATACATTACAACCGCCAACGCCGCAAATGAACTTTAATTTTTTTTTTATATAATGACAGTGATGACAAGTCAATTATACAGACTTTTTATGGTTACCTGATTTGATCACACGTTTCCTTTTTTTACCGTTAATGTATCACAGGTAGGAAATAATTATAGAGTCCTAAATTTATGTTATATCATAATAAAATACAAAATGTGAAGATAAATACAGATCACGGTAAAATAACATTTTGAAGACGTCGCATTATTAGTATTATCCCATTGTACTAAATAATGCATAATCCCATTTTATTTTTCAAAGCATTTAATCACATAGAATCTTTGCTTCATGTCAATATGATCATTGTCTTATGATCATTTTGATTTTTCATTTTATTCATATTCATATAGTTTTGAGCGTCATAATAGGGAAAAAACTACGAAGGTGAATATATTTTTTTACGTTTTAATATGCCGTCTTCATTTGTTTTATATTCGGTTAGTTTGGGCAATGACCATGCATGATCGGTTCTAAGCATTGTTGTTTTGACCGCCTATTTTTTGTTATGTTCTCCCGTGACGTCATGGTATTGTTTCCTTTGAAGTTGTTTCTAAGGATGATAGAAGAAACATGAAATCATGGACTCCCGACCTTACCTCGGTCAATGCAACTGACAACACAAGACATTGATTTGTTAACTCATGGCATGTTCATAATAATTGAATAATTTTGCAAACGTTGCTATGTTCCTATAGCACACATTGCTATTGATGACAAACTTAATAACGCCCGGTTAGGCTTTATCTAGGTTTGTCACCTATATAATTATATGTTAAAGGACATAATTAATTCATTAATTATTTTTACATTTCGATAGAGAAGTTATGTGTCGTCTAGTTACTTTGAACAGTTCTTTGAGAAACAAATTGAGTGTTGACAACAATGAAACTGAAGACGTCAATATTTGCCTTGATGTAAATCAAATGTAAATATAATTATAGCCTAGATAGTGTTGTTATGATTTGTTTATAATCCAAATGTATGGTAACATTATTTATGTTTTAATCAACTTTTGTAGCAAAGGAACAAACAAATTATAACTCTCTTTAGACAAAGTACAAATCATTGAATGTAAATAGCTAGCATTACATTCTTAACAAACTTTAATTCAATTCATGACACGGTTTATTTATATCTATCTAACTAAACTTCGTAGTGTATATCAGTATTAAGTCTCTCTTTCAAACTAAAGTAAGTTCTATCATTATAAAGTCATCTAAAACATAAGCATTTGAGATTAATTGCAAAAAATAAGTACATCTTTTTTTCCCATTTGAACATACTGTTTAATCATTTTTTCGAATCTTTTGATCATTTACTGTACATTTAATGGCAGGTATGGTGTTGTGACGTAAATTATTGCGTCATACCATTAAATAACTAGACGCTCTCAGTTGCACATGTGACGTTGTGTAGGAGTCAGTACAGTATCACTATTTATTGGAGATAACTTCTTTTATCTTTATCTTGTTCATTATTTACAGTAACAACATGTTATATTGATTTTTTTTAAGTTTGGACATTACAGTATAGTTCTACTGTTTCAGTAAATGGATTTATTAATCACTCTGAAATTCACTGTTTTAATTGTCGAGCACCAATACGTTTTGTTATATAAGTCTGATGGCTGAAAATATTGCCGTACCAGTACACATATTTTTCGTTTATATTGTAAATAAAACAAATCAGTTTCATCGATTTAATTTGTGTTGTCATTACTACCATCTTAAACCAATGACCCTAGTTGAAGGGTTCTAAACTTATTGTATATATTGAATCAATGTCTTCCTACGAAACACAGAATATGCATTATCTTAAACAATGTCGTACCAGTGGTTAATATATTAAGCTTTGATATGTAATGCTGACTTTTTAAGACACACACGAACTTATCCCTTAACTATACTGAACAAAAAAATGAAACGCACAATTAAATTATGCAATCAATAGCCTATGATATTTTGGGAAATTTGTAAAAAGTTTATATCAATATGAAGGGACAAGTCTACTCTTTACAATACTGCAAGCGGTTCATGACAGTTTGAGGACTAATGGGTCTGCCATGAGTACCTAAGGTACGCAACGCAGTCTTTACAGCAGTCTTGAATCAGTTGCGCAAGTGCGACAATCGAATCGCCCTGTCTTTTCGTGCGGTCGTTACACGCGGACGACCGCTACTGGGACGATCGGAAACTAACTCAGTAGCACGGAAACGTGTACAGAGACGGTTAATTGTACACGGGCCAACACCAAACTGCCGTGCGACAGCAGTTTGGCTATGGACATCCATCAACATCGCAATTGCTCTACCCCTCGAAATTTGCGTTAAGCATGGCATCAGTCAATGGGGAAATCAAAATGCCAACGTCGAAAATTAATATGGCTGAACTTAGAGATCCGTTGAGATTATTTGTTTGAAAAACTCCGGCTTGGTTTGATCACGCCGCGTGATTTGCACCCAAGAAGCTCACAAAGACACACAATGACATCGTCACGCTCGGCTGATTTTAGGGTAGATTGTTGAGAAAGGAGATCGTTCTTGATGTAATACCAAACCAAATATTTCATTATTTCCTTACAGCTAAGGTGTACTGCAGTGCAACTTTGTGGGTTTCTTTATTTTGTATAGTATAGTTAGACATTTGTGGTACTTTATTGACATGATTGTATATACAATATTTTCTTCATAAATTCTGCACATCAATTCCCTCAAATATAAATAAGTAATGTGCATCAATGAATTTAGATATGCGTAAGGATACTAAAGTAGTAATATTTGTTTTCATTGATAAAAAAACAACATTTTAAGAGTTTCTCAGTACCTCCCAAATACACTCATCGCTTTAGAGGTACATCAGGGGAAATGTTCATATGTGTAGGAAGAACAACAACATATCAAAAATGTATATAATTTTGAGTAACTTGATGGTAAGACGACGATAACAAAACATAACGTCTATACATATACATAAAAAATGGAGGACAAAAAGGTATAAGAGGGTAAGTACATGTTAATGTGATTGTAATTACATGTAATGAATCTACTATGTTTTAAATTTTCCTCCAATGTATGCATTTACAATATAAATATTCGTAGGTAGACATAGAATATAAGTCCAGGAAATTGAACCAATATGGAACAGTGAACACTGACCAATACGGACCTTTATCAGATTCTACAGAGATACGGAACCTGAGTGGTCAAGGCTATCTTTATCTGGACGGTCGAAGTAGTCTTTTATGTAGGAGTAATGATGACTTGGCAATTGGATTTTGTTTTGACCTTGATAATGCTAAGATATGGTGTGGGCTGAATATGGGATATGCTTAAAATAGAAACGTACACGTGGAACATGGACTACCTGATATAGCAATCATACGTGGAAAGCTGTTAAGATTCAATAAAGGAGGCGAACAGACTCGGGGAAGCCGTACTCCCAGAGGTATGTAAGACACATCGAGGTAAGACTTGTGACCTGTACTGTAGTGACTGTGACATCGTGATGTGTGCGATGTGTTTTACCGAGAAACATAAACAACACACATTCAAAAATATTGAAGAGGAAATTGACTCACAAAAACAGTACATGCAAGATCAATTAAAAATATTACAGTCCAGGTCAGTCCATTTTAATGATAATCTATCAAAACGTCATGAAATGAACAAGTCAGTTAAAGAGAGCGTGGCTGTCATCCGACAAACTGTACAAACCCAGAGGTTGAAACTGAAAGCAGAAATTGATTCAATAGCCGACTTAGTACTGGTTGAGTTATCGTCCTTCGTTGAAGAAGAAGAAAAATCTCACAAACAGGATTGTCAATCTCATGAAAAAAAA